TTCCTTGTTCATGATAATCGTTTATTATCCATGTTATAATTGTATTGATAGGAAACTTAGATACATGTGTGGGTACATAGACAACACCATGTCTATAGTAAGCCTCTAGTTGACTAGCTCCTTGATCAATAGATGGTTACGATTTCCTGACCATGGACATTGGATGTCGTTGATAACGGGATCACATCTTTAGGAGAATGATGTGATTGACAAAACCCAATCCTAAGCCTAGCACAAAGATCGAAGTTCGTATGCTAAAGCTTTTCTAATGTTAAGTATCATTTCCTTAGACCATGAGATTGTGCAACTCCTGGATACCGTAGGAATGCTTTGGGTGCACCAAACGTCACAACGTAACTGGGTGGCTATAAAGGTGCACTATGGGTTTCTCCGAAAGTGTCTGTTGGGTTGGCACGAATCGAGACTGGGATTTGTCACTCCGTGTGACGGAGAGGTATCTCTAGGCCCACTCGGTAGGACATCATCATAATGTGCACAATGTGACCAAGGGGTTGATCACGGGATGATGTGTTACGGAACGAGTAAAGAGACTTGCTGGTAACGAGATTGAACAAGGTATCGGGATACCGACGATTGAATCTCGGGAAAGTACAATACCGCTAGACAAAGGGAATTGTATACGAGATTGATCGAATCCTCGACATCGGGGTTCATCCGATGAGATCATCATGGAACATGTGGGAGCCAACATGGGTATCCTGATCACGCTGTTGGTTATTGACCGGAGAACGTCTCGGTCATGTCTGCATGGTTCCCGAACCCGTAGGGTCTACACACTTAAGGTTCGATGATGCTAGGGTTATAAAGGAAGTTTGTATGTGGTTACGAATGTTGTTCGGAGTCCCGGGTGAGATCCCGGATGTCACGAGGAGTTCCGGAATGGTCCGGAGGTAAAGATTTATATATGGGAAGTCCTGTTTTGGTCACCGGAAAAGTTTCGGGTTTTATCGGTAACATACCGGGACCACCGGGAGGGTCCCGGCGGTCCACCAAGTGGGGCCACCATCCCCGGAGGGCTGCATGGGCCAAGTGTGGGAGGGGACCAGCCCCAGGTGGGCTGGTGCCCCCCCCCCACAAGGGCCCAAGGCGCCTAGGGTTTGGGGAGGGGGCGCACCCACCTTTCTTGGGGGGCAAGTTTCTCCTCTCCCCCCTTGGACGCCCCCCTAGATGGGATCTAGGGCTGGACGCCGCCCCTAGGGGTGGAAACCTAGGTGGGGGCGCAGCCCCCTCTCCCCCTATATATAGTGGAGGCAAAGGGGCATCCCAACACACGAAGTTCTTCTCCTGTTGGCGCAGCCCTACCTCTCTTTCTCCTCATATCTCGCGGTGCTTGGCGAAGCCCTGCAGGATTGCCACGCTCCTCCACCACCACCACGCCATTGTGCTGCTGCTGGACGGAGTCTTTCCCAACCTCTCCCTCTCTCCTTGCTGGATCAAGGAATGGGAGACGTCACCGGGCTGCACGTGTGTTGAACGCGGAGGTGCCGTCCGTTCGGCACTAGGATCTCCGGTGATTTGGATCACGACGAGTACGACTCCTTCAACCCCGTTCTCTTGAACGCTTCCGCTTAGCGATCTACAAGGGTATGTAGATGCACTCTCCTTCCCCTCGTTACTGGTTTCTCCATAGATAGATCTTGGTGACACGTAGGAAAATTTTGAATTTCTTCTGTGTTCCCAACATATTTTTCTTCACATAGACATGTCGTGATTGGGGGACATATAAAATGCTCTAAGCATGGGTTCTTTCATGTTCATAAAGCACATCTCGCGCATGGGTTCTTTCTTCTCGTGATGATGAATTCCATGGCATAAGTCAACGAAATGCAAAATACCATATGACATGGGTTCTCTCATGAATCCCATGGCATAATAAAAATTGTATTATGGTGTGGGATCTTTCAAACGAATTCCACGGCATAAATCATACACCAAACAAAACAGAAATTATGCCCTAAGCATGGGTTCTTCAAAAGGAATTCCATGACACGGTTTATAAATATTGAAAATACATGCATACACCCTATGCATCAAAACATGGGGCCAAGTCAGGCCTAGCCAAAATCAACCTTCATTTACACCATAAGATAAATGAAGTCGAGCACGAACAAATATGTTGCATGCATGGTAAAGAAACATATGACATAATATCAAACATAATGTCATTGAAGAAAACCCACACGGATAAACTTCAAGTTCCCCCAGGCCGGAGTTCAGCGTTGATCGCGAGGAGGATTCCTTTTATTTTATTTTATTGTAGCATATTGTAATAGGCATGTGATGTAATCCGATGTAATAGAAATGTTGGAATTCTTAATCAGGGGTTTTCTCTTCGGAGATGTAATTAAAAAAAAAATTATGCAAATGTAAGAGTTCTGGAAATAAAGTACCTGCAATGTTTGATCTTCTTTTTATTGTATGCATATACGCATTTAAATTTCACTCTGTATCAATGACGTGGACACGTGTTCTCATGCCCGCCATTTTCCCGTCATCAGGCGCGGCCGAATGAAAGGGCGGCGGCGGTTGAGGACCAGAGGAGATCGGGATCGGGAGGAGGCGTGGGGTCTCGGGCAGGGAGGAAGAGAAGGACCCCGCGGCGAGAAGGAGGAGGATGCCGCGGTGGCCTCCTGCTCAGGCGGCGGCGAGCTCTTTGCGGCGCGGCCGGATCAAAGGGCGGCGGCGGTTGACGAGCTGGGGAACTCTGGATGTTAGAAGGGAGAGAGGGGTTTGATGGAATAGTTGTTGTATTTCCTGAGCCTCGTGGGCATATATATATGAGTACAATGATCTACTTGGAGTACAAGACAAGCCAGAACGTATCCTAGTCTATCTCGTTTTTCCTAATAATCACGATACTCAACATTGGATTGGGACGAGGCGCGAGGTTGCGGGCACATAGGAGGAGGAGGAGGATCCCGCGGCGAGGAGGAGGTGGAGGATCACGCGGTGGCCTCCAACTCAGGCGGCGGCGAGGGAGGGAAGGGAGGGAGGGAAGCAGAGGAGGAAGGTATCGAGCAAGAGATGGGGTCGGGCTGGGAGAGAGATCGTGGTGGAGATAAGGCAGAGATCGGGTCGGGTTGGGAGACAGAGTGGTGGGGTCGGCGCGGTTGGGAGAGAAAGTGGTGCGGTCGGCGTGGGACAGAGAAGGTCGTGATGTGTGTGGAGCAGATGATGCCATGTCATCGATCCATGGGTTCGATCCGCGTGGTGTGTTTTCTTCTTTGCCGTATGTAAAACAAACACTGACGGCAAAGACATACTTTGTCGTTTTCAATCTTTTTACCGATGACAAAGACATAATTTGTCGTCTATTTTTTTACAGACGGCAACGAATGTCTTTGCCATCAGCAGCTGACGGCAAATGTGGTCTTCGCCATCTGCCCCGACGAAATGATGGCGGCAAAGAGCAGTACAGACGGCAAATCTCCTGTTTCCAGTAGCGCATCCATAGCTGGAGGTTATAGAGACACAGGGGGATAACCAGAGATGACACCAACGAAGATCATCCTCTCATCAGTGAGTGAAAAAGGCTTTAACAACGTTGCCAGAGCACGAAAAAGCTAACACTAAGGATGATGTGGAAAATCAAGTATCGGCTCCCAACCAACCTACGCTAACCACCAGGTGATGGAACATAGAGAGTAGAAAATATATCCAAGATTACAATAGGGGCTAAGCTTCACCTAATATCCTAGAAATAACATAGCGGAGAATAGGTAGCAGGAAAGCTTACTTGAACCTAAGGAGAGACAAGAATATAAGGGGCGACCAAGTCACTCAACCGCTTCTTCGAGAGGTGTCCGATCAACTAGAGCGAAAGCCTTGCTTCATCCGGAGCCGACGACGGCAGCGCTTGTGGGCGTCGCTAACCTTCTTGGAGGCGTCATTGTCATGTTGTTTAATCCTTCTCGTTGGCACCCCGGGGGAACCCCTAGTCCATGTCTTCTTGGTACAGACGATGTCGGTGTAACTGGCATTGTGGCCCTTCTTGAAGGCTCCATCTTTAGGGCTGCATGGTCGATGAGTGTTTGTTGCTCACTGCGGTGGTGATGGTGGTGGTGGTGGTGTGGCTGCTTGGGGTTGAAGGTGGTGTTCTTTGGGGTTCGGTGGCGGTGCTTTTTGCGCTGTAGGGAAGCCATCTGTTTCCCCTCGTGAAGGAGTATCGCCCTGGTGCTGTGCTCAAGACCCTTCCCGCGGTTGTCGAGGTGTTGTGGCAAGCTTTGTGCTCTTCGTAATGTCCCGTTTCATCTTTGCCCATTGATGATGCAAGATGTCTCCCCAACTTGCTAATTGTTCTGATTTTCCATGGTGGAGCTCCCTGTCAAGGTTCGTGTTTACTGCACTCGTTGGTTGTGGATGCTCCTGAGTTGTGTCGTGGGGCTCAGCACGCAGTCCAGTGTGGTGCGTTAGGCTTCTTGCAAAGTCCCGGTATTATGATCCCTCGATGACACCCCACATATACTTGTGTCTTTCGTGGTGATAGTCTTTCTGTCTGTTAGCTAGGTGTGCCTTGTCTTCAGCATCTTTTTCTGCCCTTTGGTCCTGTTTTTTTATGCAAAATGTTTTCTTCTACTTGCTTTTAAAACATGGAACAATCTCAGTAGTGTCATGGGCACCCGTTTGGCCTGGGCTGGGCTTTCGGTCCTTGGTCGCAAACCCGGAGCAGGGGAAGTCTCTAGTCTCCTAGTTGTTATGGTTCATGTGTTCTTGCCCCGCAAATATTTGCCCTCTGGTCGTTGCGGGAGCCCCCAAATTCAATGAAACCCTTGTTCCCCTTGGCCCTTCCGCAGACCCGCTCACAAAAATGTTCTCTTTTTTTCAAAAATAATTGTTGATGCTCTTAGTAAGTATACAGTGTTGCTTATTCAAATTCATTGTTAATCCGCTTGCAAATTGGTGAATGCACAAGGAATCAAAATGTTCGAGCTGACCGGTGGGGTTTTGGTCTGCAGTACTGACCGGAGGACCTAGCTTACATGGAGATGGAGATGGAGATGGATGGGAAGAGCAACGACGCGACCAAGGTGGCCAAGGAGGACCCTTCCCTTTCACAGGTAACTGAACCATGATTCTATTGGGTCTATGTGAACAGGAGAGGAGCTTAGAAGTTTTGGTGAAGACCTGCCCTTGAGATTGAAATTATTGCTCTTTCAGTAAGGAGAAATTGTTGATTCTTCATTTTGTAGCCATTGTAAATCGGGTAATGCATAAGCAAATTGAGTTGTGCGGTCTGATCTCAAATGTACTGCAGGCCATGGCTCTCATGGAGGGCAACAACTGCAGCAACGGCAGCGATACCAAGGAAGGGGGAGATAATCGGCTAGATGGAGAGGGTGTCATTGTCAAGAAGCAGAATGTCGCCATGGCCATGGGAACGGAGTTCTTGGACTTCCCTATCAGCTTCGCCCCCCTTAGCCCTCCGGTTTTCCAAGTAATTGGATTGATGCAATTTCGTGTATGTTGTCATCGCAAAAATCATGTCCAATTTCTAGTACATTGCTCTCTTCATGTCGATATGGTCAGTGCTCTTGTATGTGATGAAGTTAATTCTGAACCTTGTTGGGTTGATTATCTGTAGTGTGCACTAGGGCATTTCGTGTGCCTGAACTATCGCGACAAGCTCCTGTAGACAAAGGCAAACAAGGTTTGGGGCGTGTGCTCCAGGGACGTCTCGACCCGCTGCCACGACATGGAGCATGTCGTCGACTCCATCATCGTGCGAGGCTCCTATGTTGTGCATGGGTGCGGCGACACAATTGCCTACCACAAGAAGAGGGCGCACGAGGAGGTGTGCTAGCACGCGCCATGCTTCTGCCCTGAGAAAGGTTGCGGCTTCGCAGGCACGACAACGGCCCTCCTGGATCACTCCGCTGCGCAGCACGAGTGGCCAACGACACGCTTCCAGTACTACAAGGCATTTGACGTACCCGTCAAGGCCAGCGTGCATGTGCTCCGTGGAGGCGAGGATGGCCACCCCTTTCTGCTTCATGTGGTGCCCCTGGACTCCACACCGCTGCATGGGGTCTCGCTGGTCTGTATCGGGTAGCACGCGGCACCGTAATCCAAGTTCGGGTGCTCCGTGGGCTTCTCCTGGTTCAAGGGCCATTACCAGGCCTCAACGCTGGATACGATCAGGAGCACGTCGCTTTCTGATAGACTGCCGACAAACTACTTCCTCACCGTTCCCAAGGCTTGTCGTGGAGGTGGCGCCCGTGTCGTGCTTAGCGTGACAATTGATACAGAGATGGTGTATGGAGACGATGACGAGCTGGAGGAGGAGAATGAGGATGATGAGAGATGCAACAAGGAGGAAGATGAGGACGAGGACAGCGATGAAGACGAGGATAATGAAACTAGCGACGAGGATGATGAGAGCTACAACAATAAGGAGGAGGAGGAGGAGGAGATAGAGATAACCATGAGGATAATGCGACTAGCGACGAGGATGATGAAAGTTGGGAGGAGGTGAGCCACAACGATTACTATTGATGCATAGGCATCGACGGCACTGTCTCAATATCCATGGTGAATCTGCTAGATGTTAGATCTTTGGAAATTTTGTTGTTACGGTGCTTTACGGTGTTGAGTTGCACAATGCGTTCCTCTTAAAATGGAGTTGCACAGTGTGTTAGGCTGACTGATTATGCCGTCACTTGCTGTTCTGGCTCATGCTCAACTTTTTTTGATGGAAATGTTGTAACCCTCGAGTGAGTGAAGTATCTATGTTCATTTGATCTTGACACAACTATGTTTCTTTTGGGGAATATGGAACCGTAATGCTTTTGGTATTAATATGTTATTCAAAATTTTGTGAATATTTTTGTACTATTATTATATTTTTAACAAGTAGATTTAAATGGCATCGCTGTTCATCTTCCCAATCTGTTTTCTATTCTAATCATCAAGGGTGCAACATTTACTACTGTAAGTTTTGCATCAGCCTTCAGTAGTCGTCAAGGGTGCAACATTTACTACTCTATGGTTTGCATCAGTCATCAGTAGTTGTCAAGTGTGCAACATTTACTATTGTATGGTTTGCATCAGTCATCAGTAGTCGTCAAGGGTGCAACATTTACTACTGTATGGTTTGCATCAGTCGTCAATAGTCATCGAGGATGCAACATTTACTACTGTATGGTTTGCATCAGTCATCAGTAGTCGTCAAGGGTGCAACATTTAGTACAGTAAGGTTTGCATCAACGATCATTAGTCGTCAATGCTGCAACATTTACTACTGTGATGTTTGCTCACATATGTATTTTTTTTACCATTAGCACTTTATTCAACCATGTATTTGATAAACTTGTAATTATTCTGAGAGAGTATTTTTAGAAAAAATCTAAACATAAAAATATTTTTATGTCTTCATTTTTTTTCTACACAAACGGTTTTGTGTCTAACCAAGCCTCATGAGCAGGGCGGAGCCAGGATTTAGGCATAGGGGGTGCCACACGATGGTCAAGCGAGAAACTAATTTTTTTCTCACAAACTATCCAATAGTTATATATCCAAGTATAACTTTTTTTCAGTTGGGTCATGTGTAGCTATATTTCTTTTGCGGATTGTCTAGCTATAGTTAATATGGTCAATAATTTCACGTATGCGCAAAGTAGACCAAGTAATAATCAAACTACTCCGAAACATGACATGAAATGTCTTGCTACAAAACATTGTCATATGGAAAGAACAATCATTGTATAACCAAATGGCTGGCTTTTAGCTTGTATTTGTACATATTTGAATTCCCAATCCCCGCAAAAATAATATTTGAATGGCAAATCATCACCAATTACATTAGAACCTTTTTTTGTTGTATTAGGCAAAAGTATTCAAAATTGCCAGAACACATACCTAGAGAAATAAATCTAGCCTCTGCTCATCCCCTTTGTCGCTAGGTAGAATTAGATCAGCTGATCATTGTTGGTATACTCTAGGCAACCGTCACTGCTCACCGATTTTTTAGATCCAAGCTTTAGAATGATTGCGTGTGAGTATGCCCTAGTGATGCATCACAAATCACATAGCCAAAATAATAAAAAAACTGATGAATATGTTCGAAACGATACAAGATGTGAATTGAGAGAGATTAGTAGAAAGTGTGATGTGTTAACCTTGCTATTTCATTGGCTACATCCTGAAGAATCGACGAGCAGCAGCTTGTGGGTTGTGCCGCCGTAAGTCAAATCGTGAGTGGCAAGAGCAAAGACGGGCATGCGGCCGGCAAGGGCACAGGACGGCGGCTGCGCGGGGCTAATCACGGGAGATAATGCCCGACGCGCAGGAGATAGCAGAGAATAGTTGCCCAATCGGATGTTGCCATGGACCTGAAAACGTTTCACTATTGGGCTTTAACATGGGCCGTTTTTCATTTTTCTAGAATTGATGGTCAAGATAGGGGGGGCCAAGTATTTTGTACGTTTCACTATC